TCGAATTTTAATCCAACCTACCTAGTGTAATTCCGAAATCTAACTATGAATCTAAAAAATGTTTTTTTTTAGGTTTATGATAAATGAATATCTAGAGCATGACATTAAAAACGAAATGGAAATATCAGATATTGAATTGATGGATCCGAATAAAGGGATATTTGTAAAGGAAGAAGAACATTCGAGTGACATCAATTTATCAAGACAAGAACTTATTAGGATGTTTCAATGTTACACTTGCAATACTATGTTTAGAACCAAATCAAATTTGAAACATCATTTAATAACACATTTGGGTATTCATCCTTTTGAATCCACTTGCAAAGTAGAATTTACCCAAAAAAATGAGTTACAGCTTCACATATCAACACTCTCGGATATTTTTTCTTTCAAATGTCACACTTGTAAGAAAAAATTTAAAAGGAAAGACGATTTGAACGCACACATACTAACACACGCGGATGAAAAGAATTTTAAATGCAAAATATGCAATGCAAAATTTAAACAAAAAGGTAATTTACAAAGGCACATTGTTTGCGCCAGGGTTTTTCTATTTAGGTAAAAATGCTTGGCAACGCCGCCTGTTGAAAAATTTGTGGGTACCAAAAAGATTTGGGCCAGTAATAAAATATTAGCGACGGAAAGCTAATGCAAAAATATAATTGATATTTTTCGGGTCGGCAATTTGCGGGAAATTAAAGTATTTTCAAAGTTGTGACAAACTTCTATCGGCTCGCGATCTTGTGAAGAAATTTACTCGTCCTCTACGCATCCTTTTTCCTCTTCCTAGCTATTCCAAATATCTTCCCCTTGGGTAAAAAAAATGAAGTTAACAAATTAAATGCAACGATACCGGTAAGCATTGTTTTAATTAATTAGATTTAGACCAACTGAGCTACGAAGGAACACACATTCTAACCCACTTGGATATTTATCCTTTTGAATGTGATATTTGCAAAGCAAAATTTAAAACAAAATACCATTTGAAAATATATAAATTAACACATTCTGATATTTATCCTTTTGAATGTGACACATGCAAATCAAAATTTAAACTTAAAGGCAGTTTGAAAATTCACAAACTAACACATTCTGATATTTATCCATTTAAATGTGATATTTGCAATGCAAAATTTAAACAAAAAATTAATTTGCAAAGGCACATTTCAACACATTCGAATATTTATCCTTTTGAATGTGACATTTGCTGGGCAAAATATAAAGAAAAAGACTATTTGAAGAAACACAAACTAACACATTCTGATATGCATCCTTTTGAATGTGACACATGCAAATCAAAATTTAAACTTAAAAGCAGCTTGAAGATTCATAAACCAACACATTCTGATATTTATCCTTTTGAATGTGACACGTGTAAATCAAAATTTAAACTTAAATACAAGTTGAAGAATCATTTATTAACACACTCAGATGAGAGGAATTTTAAATGTAACATATGCAACGTCAAATTTCAAACCAAAAATAATTTAAACCAACATTCAGTGATCCCATCAGCTAGATAAGTGTAAATTTGTTTTGCTCTGTTAAATTTACAATCCCAAGCAAATCGGAAAACTAGGGTTTCAATGTAATTTTTGTAAATGCAAAATGCACGGATGCTTATGGTTTTTTTTTTCAAATTCTTTAATTTTTTTTTTGGTGAAGGAGTTTATTATTTGTAGCTTTAGAGTTTTGTAGTTTGGTGTTTATATAAATATAATGATATGAAGAAAATGTTCATTGTCTTCTACGCCGGATGGTTTATGAAAATTTAAAAATTATAATTTATCCTTTACTTTACGTATTGTTAATTATTCAAAGAAGTTAGGATTGGATAAGCTGCTATTTTTTTTTTGTGATTTGAAAATATCCACTGAAGTTCTTGACATATTTTCTCAATCACAAATTGCTTTATACTAAGTCACAAAAATCAGTGAAACGTGCCGTTATCAAAGTCAGATTTAATATCGACGCCATTCGCAAGGTATTTATGAATGACGAGTTTTGTAAAAAAATCTTTTCGGCTATTTCAAAGGAAATTGATGAGAAGTTTATGGAAAAAATCTCACTATAACTTCCTTGGAAGAAAATATGTCATCCATGCAAATGGAGTTAAAAGATCTTCAGCAGCAGAATACAAACCCACTACGGATAGTGGATGCGCAGGAGCAAGTTTCACGAAACAACAATATAAGATTATATGGCATTCCTGCTGAAAATCAAGAAACAAACATAAAACAGTCGGTTCTAAATATTTGCAGGTAAATATTCGAGAGACCGACCTTATCAGTTGTTTTTGTAAAAAATAAAAAACTAATTAATCGTCTCAGTCTGCCAGCGATTTGTTTTTCGTTATGGTAGTATTTTCGAATTCTAACATGAGATCAAAAGTCTTGAAAAATCGCAAAATGTTAAAAGGTTCGAAGATTGTTATTAAGGAGGATTTAACTAACAGGCTTGATAAAGACTGCCGCGGAAAAATTTTTGCGTACAAATATGTGAAGTCGAAATGGAAATATTTACGTTAGATTAAATGGTAAAGTGTCAAAAATTCGAAGTCTAAACCATTTAATATGAGCTTCATCAAGAACATTATACAAACTGAATAAAGTTAGCATACTAATATTGTAACCTATCTATATTCAACATTAGTATTTCTACTATTGGCAATTGTATAATGTTTCTTTAGTGACAATCTAGGAATTTATATATTGAGTTATTTGTATACTTTAATAGATGTCGCTACTGTCAAATTAGATTGTAATTGACAGACGACAGAATGTTCTGGTTCCCTGGCCTTCTTCCTTTTTATAATAGATTAGCTTAGTCGCTAGTTGCTTTTGGTTGTTTTTGGTTGCTAGTCAACAAGACAATTGTATGTCGTCATGCTAACAAATTTTACAATTAGTTCAACATTCTTTTAATAATAAATGCATACTAAAATAATTGTACAATAAGTGTTACAATTTTGGCTTGGAACATTTCTCTTATGTGCTAACTTATAAAGGGTTAATTTTGATTGATTATAGAAATTGTCGGCCGAGGTTTGCTCAAAATCGAGAATCGCCCTCTAGCGGCTAAACAGTTGAAGATATTAAAATGTGGTTTGCACCAATCAAAATTTCATGAAATGTAAGGCTTAGAGTGGGGCGTATATTTTTTTCTATCTCTAAAAATGAAAGGTTTTTCCATAAGAAAGTGTCTAATTTGGACCACCCTGTGCATAATAATATTTGATATTTATACATATAAAGTCCGTCGATTTTAATTTGATACTCCAAAGGAATATGAGCTGGTAGGTCCGTACATTGGAATGCCAATGGCCAGTGGACGTGACACCTGTTTTTGCCATACGCTTCACCCCTTCGCTCTTAATACGGAAAGTCTCAGATTTAAAACGACGGACATTAGGTGGTTGTATATAGTAATATTAGGTATATACATATATAGAATGAATGAGTGTTGCGAAAACTCTTCGCAACACAGGAATTTAAAAATTCCTCTCCCACAAAAATCTCAAGAGGGTCGCACACAGCGCCCTCTCAAAAACCTCCCTTCCTTCCCTTGCAAGCCAAGGGCAGTGCCGAAGTAGACACAGACGTGACGAGAGTTTTGCAGTACTGTCGCATCGCATTTCGTCAAGTTTCGCTTTTTTGTTGTCGCTTCTGCCTCCGTTCAGGCCATGAATGTGTATAAGTCAGTGTTCCAGTCTCTTCTGAGTGATTTTGCTCAGGTTTGAGAATCAAATTGGGCTCAGAACGAGTTCAATTTAAAGTCCCAGTTGTGGCAAGTTGGCTTGTAGTCGGCTTTGTCATTGTATGTTCCAGTGTCTAGTGGCGACATCTTCAGTCAGGCCAAATCGTAAGTCTGCACACATTTACAGTTCAAAACATTTTCTTCATAACTAAACGGAAGGGTAGTGGAAAGACTATTGGATTGACAGAGCAGTCTAGGCTTTAAATAAATTGACCAGCAAGATTCAGGCAGGGATAGACTTGTTGACTCAGTTTAGAGACAGTTTCATATTTTATTACTTCTTCCTTTGCTTCCACTCTTATTTCATGTTGGAGCCAATATAATCAAGACTTTTATTATTACTTTAATTCAATCATAAAATTTAATTTCAATCAGGTTTCAAAATGATTGATTTCTGCAACTAGTTATTAGCTCATTTATTTAATTTATAAAATATAAGCTTACGTTATTTAATTTTTTCTTTATTTTGGGTAGATATTGTTACATCAGAGTAGGTTTTTGGCTAGATATAAGTATTTATAGTTTGTAAGTATCAATTGAAAAAGACAGTTTTGATTTGTTGTGTTTAAAATAAATATCTACATTGAAACTTCATTCCTGCTATTATTTTTGAACCTGGGATTCATGATAAATTAGATTAATACACCTGAATGTGTAGTTAAAAATAATTACAACTCATACATTTTTTTTTTACAACAGATTTAAAAGGGTTTAATGGCTATTCCAGAAACCAGTCCTTTGTCAGTCTTATCGTTGTGCTGTGCAACTTATAAAGGGTATAATTTTGCGCACTCTCTTTGAACTCTACTCAATTTTATGGTTAAATTGAGCAACGAGATTTAAATATGGTCCTTCGAGCCGGATATAGTCCCTCAAAGTTTTATTATCTGTTGAAACTTTACATGAAAATTTAAACTTTCATTGTTTAAATCTAGTCCTGGGTTCAAAAAAAAATAATATATTTGCATATTTAAGATATTTAAATTATAATACTGTACCTGTAGGTTTCTACAAATAAATTAACACTGCCCAGGTACCTGAGTGCATTGGAGAACAAAAATACAATATAGTGCTTGACAATAGTGTTTAATAAACTATATTGCTCCGACCCAGATCAGTGTTTCGATTTTGATAAGGACTTGGTAAGTTTTGATTATTGGTTTATTGTCTGTGAATTTATGAATTGTTTTACTGTTTTTTTGCTGTAATTTAAGGTACTTATAGTACATTCTATTTTATAAAATATGGATTTTGACACTTTGAAAAAAAATCGTACTGCTGCTAAAAGCAATATCACTAGAATTTTAAACTCTATTAACAAATTAAAAGATACTGAAACTGATATCACTTATTTTGAAACCAAATTAGAGCAGTTACAAAAAGCTTTTGATCGTTATTCCACTGTTCAAGATGAAATAGAACATAATATTTCTGAATTACAACCAACCCTTATTGACTCTGAAAATAGGGATTTGGTTGAGGAACAATGTGACAAGGGTATTATTTTATGTCGCAATAAAATTAAACAATTTTCAGTTAACTTAAATATTTCACTGCCTGCCTCTTCTGCAACCACTGCTGCAATGACACCAGTGGCAGCATCTAGTTCTAATATTTTACAAATTATGAAAATTAAACATTTCACAGGTGTTGTATCAGAATACTATCCCTTTATGCAAATGTTTGAGGCAATTGTCGTAAATGACAGCAGTTTGACGGATATTCAGAAATTTGCTTATTTAAAATCTTGTTTACGGGGCGAAGCTCTTGAAATTGTGGAGCATTTGACATTTACAAACGACAATTTCGACATTGCTTTAACATACCTCAGAGAAAGGTATGAAAATAAAATAACAGTTCTAAATGCTCATATAAATGCTATTTTGGATGTACCAGTCATAACTAAGGTTAGTTCTTCATCTCTTAGGGATTTCGTGAATAAATGTAAAGGAAGTATGGGTTCTTTAATTAATCTGAACTATTCAAAGGAGGAGTTGTTTGATGTTCTAATTGTTTTTTTGTGGTCTAAAAAAATCGACATAGGTACTCGTAAGGCATACGAAGGTGAACGCAAACAAGGCGTTCTACCTGATGCCGATGATTTCATCAAATTTATTGAAAGAAAATGTGTAACTTTGGAAAATTTATCAAGCAATGAATCACAAGGGAAAAAAACCTGAGAAGGTACAAATTCATACTTCCTTGCATGCAAATTCAAACCAAAATAATTACAATAATAAAAAATGTTTGTTTTGTAATGAAATTTCTCATGTTATGCTGGCTTGTAACAAATTTAAAGGTTTGCAACTACCTGAAAAGAAAAGGTTTGTCTATTCAAAAAGGTTGTGTTACAATTGTTTGGGTTCTCATAATTTTAATAATTGCTCTTCTATCAAAACTTGCCTACATTGTAACAAAAGACACCATTCCCTTCTGCATGAATTTCAGATTAATTCCCAGCAAGGATCAAGCTCACAAGGTAATAGTTATCATAATAATAATCGTCAAACCTCATGGGTTTCATCAAGACCTAACCAAGGCTCTGGAAGTGGTCCAGTTCAACAACAAGGCGGAAATCGTGCCAATAATGCATCCACTCAAGTCTTCAATAATCGAAACCAATCCTTTGGTTATCAAAATCCAAATCAGCATAATAATCCAAATCGAAATAATTCCCAAAGTCCCACAAGTAATCCACAGAACAATGTGAATTCTCAGACACTTTCTCAGGCACAGGAGAATCAAACACTTTCGGCCCTTTCCACAAGAAACTCCCAAGTACTCTTAGCCACTGCTTCTGTGACTTTGATCGATGCAGATGGCAACCCTGTTCAAGCCAAAGGCATCCTTGATAACGGATCCCAAAATTCATATATTACTAATAACCTAGTGCAAACCCTTAAGTACACTCCATACAATCGAACAACTTGTGTTTCAGGTATTGCCCTAACCCATAATGTTTCTCAAAAAATGGCCGATGTTGTCCTTCATTCCAATTACAATAAAAGAACCTTTAAGTTGTCCTGTGTCGTTTTACCCACCATTACCTGTCAGTTGCCCCACTTGCAAATTGATACTCGATTATGGAACATCCCAAGTGATATAGTTCTGGCTGACCCTGATTTCAACGTCCCATCGCCAATTGACCTTCTCATAGGCTTAGATCTATACTATCACCTATTGACCAGTGGTATGATTCGGTTGGGCAAGGACATGCCCACCTTGCTTAATACTCATCTTGGATGGATAATAGGAGGACTGTATCCATCAAATTCTGATTCAAATGTTTCCAATTCACACTTGAATGTGTCGCTGTCAACCCAGAAATCTGTGTCACTTTTCATTCAAAACGATGAACAAACATCGCTTGAAAAGTTGGTGAGAAAATTCTGGGACATAGAGGAGCTTCCAGCTGCTAAGTGTCTTACTCCTGACGATGAAATGGCCGAGTCCATTTTTATCAATACAACAAAAATCTTGAGAAATGGAACCTTAAATTTACCATTGAAAACCCCTGATGAACATCTCAAGCTGGGTGATTCATTATCCATAGCTCGCAAAAGGTTTGAAAACCTTGAGAAAAAATTCGAGAAAAATCCAACTTATTACGCTGATTATAAAAATTTTATAGATGAATATGTATCCTTGGACCATGCAAAGTACGTTCCCCTTGCTCAACGTGATGATCTATCACACGAAAAATACTTTTTTCCTCATCACGCTGTCATTAGAGAGGACAGTGTGACCACCAAATTAGGCGTTGTATTTGATGGCTCTTGTAAAACTACTTCTGGTTATTCCCTCAATGACGTCATGTTAAAAGGGTTTCAAGTACAGCCAGATTTATATGACATCTTATGTCGATTCCGATCATTCAAATATGTACTGACTTCTGACATCGAAAAGATGTTCAGACTAATAAAGGTTAATCCTGAACAAACATTTTTATTAAATATTCTCTGGCGAGACCAACCTCAAGATAAACTCAAATGTATTGAGTTATCAACGCTGACTTATGGTACAAATAATGCTCCCTTCTTAGCCACTAGAGTCTTGAATCAAATTGCAATGATTAATTCTTCTGAATTTCAACTTGCATCACATGCGCTTTTAAACCAAACATATTGTGATGATATTCTCGCAGGTGTTGATGACCTCAATGACCTTCCAGTCCTGCATGATCAATTAATTTCTTTGCTGAATGAGCATGGATTTCCATTGCACAAATGGTGCAGTAACTCTACGGAATTCTTGGCAAAAATTGCCAACGAAAATAACACTTCTGAGTTGGATTTCAAGTTTAATGGAACCCTTAGCAAGGTTCTTGGGCTCAAATGGAACCCAGTAATTGACTATTTTCTCATTTCAAGTCCCAAAAAATCATTTCCAGAACCCTTCACAAAAAGGAAAATTCTCTCAACGGTTGCACAATGCTATGATCCAATAGGTTTTTTGTCTCCCGTAATCGTTATTGGTAAGCTGATAATACAAAAACTCTGGACATTAAAGGTTGATTGGGACACTCCTATAAAAGACAATGATCTCATTTCAGAATGGAGAAATTATGTTGACAATTTACATCTTCTACAAGATCTTAAAGTTCCAAGATATTTTTTCCTGAACAAATTAGTAAAGGAGATCCAATTTCACGGCTTTGCCGATGCAAGCATGAAAGCGTATGCTGCGTGCATGTACATACGTTGCTCCTATACTGATGGTACTATTTCCAGTTTTCTTGTTTCATCAAAGTCCAGAGTTTCCCCCCTGAAAACTGTCACACTTCCCCGATTGGAACTTTGTGCCATGCTTCTTCTTTCTCAACTAACTTCCAAACTTCTACAAATATATAACAACAGATTTAACGTTGACTCAGTTAATCTGTGGTCCGATTCTGAAATTGCACTTTGCTGGATTCAATCCCATGCATCACGTTGGAACATATTTGTTTCAAATCGTGTTTCACAGATACAGGAACTCACTTCCCACTTTGTTTGGCGGCACATTAAATCTTCTGAAAATCCAGCAGATTTACCCTCTCGAGGCATTCCTATAACTGACCTCTTAACTTCTAAAATTTGGTTTTATGGCCCAGCTTTTCTAAAAAATCCTAATCTTGATATGACAGAGATAAAAAAATTCCCGATCTCATCTAATTTGCCCGAAGAAAGAAAAATCTCATTATTTACTGTTACTGCTAATCTATCAGATCAAAATGCCTTTTGGTATGATATTTTCAAACGATTTTCAAATTTCTCAAGACTACAGCGTGCATTGACGTACATGTTTAGATTTTTCTATAACTGCAAAAATAAAGAAAATAAAAACTCAGGTCCTTTGAATGTCCAAGAACTCAAAGGCTCCTTAAACCTAATCATGAAGCTTTTACAAGCACAATATTTTTCAAAAGAAATCTCTGCAATAAATAATGGAAATAATATTTCTGACAAGGCTTTAAGAAAACTCAATCCCTTTTTAGACACCGATGGATTCCTAAGAGTCGGTGGCAGATTAGAAAACGCCAATATACCTTTCCAACATAAACACCCCTTATTGTTGCCATCTAACAATTACGTTGTTGCACTGTTATTAAGACATGAGCATAAGCGTTTGGGACACGCAGGCGCTCAAAATGTTCTTTCGAATATTAGAACCAGGTATTGGCCTCTTAACGGTCTCACGGAGATTAAGAGAATAGTCTCTAACTGTGTAATTTGCTACCGCTTCAGAGCAAAGACTTCTGAGCAAATAATGCCAAATCTTCCAAAGAGCCGAGTACAAGTATCTCGACCTTTCAGTCATGTGGGGGTGGACTACGCTGGTCCATTCACAATAAAGTCCTCTAAGTTACGCAAGGCTCCACGAATGAAAGGGTACTTGGCCATTTTCGTTTGTATGTCCTCAAAGGCAGTCCATTTAGAACTTGTGTCTAGCATGACAACTGAAGACTACATCCTTGCTTTAAAGCGATTCATATCACGCCGTGGCAACCCTTCTGTAATATACAGTGACAATGGGACCAATTTCGTTGGTGCTAAAAACCAATTGTATGACCTCTTCGATTTTTTTCGTAAATTCGAAACTAACAATAGTGTCAAAGAATATTTGTGCCAGAATGAAATAGAATTCAAGTTTATACCTCCTAGAAGCCCACATTGGGGTGGAATATGGGAAGCTGCTGTGAAAAGCGCAAAGCATCATATACATCGTCTTATTGGTGAAGCCCATCTCACATTTGAAGAATTATATACCATTCTGGTTCAGATAGAGGCTATCCTCAATTCACGCCCCCTGTGTCCCATATCTAACAACCCAAACGATTTTCAAGTGTTAACTCCTGGTCATTTGTTGATAGGTTCAAGTCTAACTTCCTACCCCGAAAAGGACTTAACAACAATTCCTGAAAACAGACTTACCCTCTGGAAACGTCTAACCCAAATAAAACAAGCCTTTTGGAACCGCTGGACCAGAGATTATCTCAATCGTCTACAGAATCGTCC